AAGGTGGTATCTCCATGTCTTGCTGTCAATTTGGGGCTTAAACGTGAAGGGAATGTTTCCGTGAAGTCTGGATTGGTTCCCACCTCGGGAGCTACTTGGGGAAAAGCCTCCACCAGGGTTTCCACACAGCTCTGGCTGGGCTTTGAACTTGCAGACCTTCCTTTCCTGCTGTAGCCGGCCCCTGGCCTCCTTAGCCTGCAGGTGGGAGACCTGGAGAAGGACAGGTTGGCAAAGTCCGGCTCCTCCCCAAGCTCCAGAGCCACAACACCCCGCCCCCTGGAGTCTGAGTCCCTGTCCTTCCCACCCCACAAAACTGAAGTGACGAGGGATTCGACACTCTGGCACTGCAAGCCCTGTCCACCTGGGCCTCTGCGTACCAAACCTGCATCCTGAAACCCGCTGTCCAGTGCTCCCTGGGGACTCAGTGTGTCAGGGCCCTCCTTCCCACCTGCTCGACTCTGGGGCTTTCAACCCACTCGTGGTCTCCTTCCTGTGTCCCCACCTGCCCTCCTGGTGTCCTGCTCCTTGTGGTCAGCCCCTGCCCTGCCCAGGTGCCTCTCGGTGGTGGTGCAGGCCAGGCCCTCCCCCTCTAAGCTCTTACCCTGGTCCTGCCTTTGGGTAAAAGGCCACTGTCACAGCTGAAGCAGAAGGAGCGTTTCTCCCCCTCTGTCCTTTGTCCTGTTTGGGCCTCCTCCGATGGACAGTGCCTGCCACAGTGGTGAGGCGTCTCTTTACTCAGATGCCCCTCCCAAATGTTCTAAGAGGTGACTATAAAGCCACCAAATCCCAGAAGAACTCAGACTCTGCAAACAGCTGGCTGTCTCTGACCTGACTGAGCCCGTGGTGGCTTTTCTGTCCTCCTGGTGAACTCCTCTGCTGCCACTGCAGATCTGAGGTTCACCCTGTGCCCTGGGCGCCGCCCCTGCTGCCCATTACCAGGACCACCACGGCAGAAGGGCATCCTGAGATGTCCTCAGCGAGCACCAGGGGGCGCCCTGGGACACCACACACACACACACACACACACACCCCCCCACACACACACACACACACACACACTTGGCCATCTCCAAGTTGATGGACACACAGAGGTGAAAGCCCCGTAAGGGAGTGCTGGGCAGGCTGACCCACCCACAGCTTTGTGGCCAGACTTAGGTGGACAGAAAGATTTCCTTCAGGCCATTTCTATTTTATCTCATACTTTCCTGACTTCCCAACCCAAAGATCTACCTTATCTGTATTTCCTAGAGATAAAATCCCAACTGATTTGGAAAATGCTATTATTTGGATCTGGAAGGTTCTATAAGGGCCCACGTGCTAAAGTCTTTTCCCCAGAGAGGCACTGTTGGGAGGGGGTGGAGCCTTTAAGAGGCGGGACCTAGAGAGAGGTCTTCAGGTCATTGAGGGTGCGCCTTTGAAGGGGACTTCCTTTTTTTTGCTTCCCACTGTGAGGTGAATGGTTTTGCTCTGCCTTGAGGTACCACCGCAGGCCCAAAGCCTCAGGACCAGCCATTCATGGACTAAAGCCTCCAAAACCATAAGCCCAAAATAAACCTTTTTCCTTGATAAGTTGGTTGTCTCAGGTTTTTGTCACAGTAAGATAAAGCCGATGCTGAAATTATTCTTCCAGGCAGGATGAAGCCCCTGTTTCTCTGAGACTTCAGCTTGTCCGTGTGTCCAGCTTGTCCATGTGTCCTTTCCCTTACTTTTTTTCTTCCGATAAATCTTTTTTCTTAGCTCTTGAGCCCCTCACCTGCCTGGCATCTTTTATTCCCTTAACAAGAAATAGGATCAGTCAGCAGAGGGTGACCACAGCAGGAACTCCAGAGCCCAGCTGTTGGAGGTCACCAGCCCTGCTCCTTGCTCACTGTGTGTCCTGAGACACGTGATTGAACTTCTCTGTGCCTCAGTCTCCTAGATGACAGGGCCCACCTCACAGATGTGTGGGAAGAAGTGTGTAAAGTCTGAGAACATGCCTGGCCTGGGCCAGAACCACGTCAGTGCTGGCTGCTACTATCAACCACGCCCCTAAATAAACAGGAGGGTCCCAAGGACGAGCCAGACGTTGGCCTCAGGAGCTCATCCTTACCCAAAAGAGACTGACAAGAGAAGAAACAGCCTCATACAAGTCAGTGAAGGGACCTCAGGAGAAGACCACAGTCACCGGAATCCTGGAACGCACCAAGGAGAAGTGGCATAAGGAGACGGCTGGGAGTATTCTCTGTCCATTGCTGTATCAGATTACTCCAAAGCTTAGAGGCCTCAACAACAATAAAGGTTTGTCTCACAGAGTTAGGACTGCGGGAGGGACTTTGCTGGGTGTTTCTAGACCCAGGTGTCTCCTGGGGTCACAGCAATCCCCTGAAGGCTGGCCAGGCCAGGAGTAGCTCCTCCAGCCTGGCTCGTCCTGGCTGTGGGCAGGGGCTCCAGTTCTTCACAGGTGGACCCCTCCACACGGGCAGCTGGAGTGTCCTCAAGAGAAGGCAGCTGCTCCCCTCCCAGCAGATTGTCCGTGAGAACCATGGTCGAAGAGGTAGTGTCTCCTCTGAGTCACTCGTCACACTGCCCTTCAGTGATCTGAGTCACACACCTCAGCCTGGAAGACAAGGACCACTGTGCCTTTGGAGGGCACCACAGCAGCGGGCTGGAGAGCACGGTGCAGTGCCAGGCCTCCCCAGGATTGGAAAGGGAGGCTGGGAGCACAGGAGACCCTGGGCCCAGAGGCCTGTTGCCGCTCACAGGACATGGGACTGACCCAAGGGGAATCTATACACTGTCTTAAGTAAACTCAGCTATTGCCAAACACGGGGAGCTGACCAAATAGGGGAGCAGGAAAAAGAGAGGCAACGGTCTCCACTGGAGCCCGAGGTGTCTCTCTCCATTTGCAGGAGCAGGCACTGTAAAAGGGGTCCGGTGGAGCGTCGGAGCGAGAGACCACACAAGAGACTTACTCCATGCAATTGGCAAAAAGGGATTTATTGGGGATCCATTCCAGGGTGCTGGGGCTCCGTGCTCACTCAAGAAGGGAGAGCAGCCCAGAGCCCAGAGCAGAGGTCAAGCAGAGCTTAAGTACACTTTTTGGAGAGGGCGGTGGGCTTTGCATACATCAGAACAAATCATCAGGAGGCTAGGGAAAATTGAACAACAACTCTGAGACGTGATTAGCACATTCATTGGCGGGAACAGGTCGGGCGGGGGTGATTGGTCACTCCTAAGCGGGTTACACATTCAAACTGATTGGTTTGGGCCCTGTATGCTTCCTGTGACAAACTGCACAGGGCTCTAGGCTAAATGGCCAGTAGGACGTTGTTTTAACTATCTCAGGAATTTCAGGTTCTGGGTGTAACAGAGGAACTTAATAATACCTAATCTTTTACATTCAAGCTTTCCAGCTTAGAAACTTTACCCTTTCAGGCACCTCTATGTGAGAGCAGCCTTCCTGTGCCATCAGCCATGAAACATCTTCACTGTGGCTCTCTGGGTCCCTGCCTTTGGGCTGTGGCCGAGATGGAATCCCTCAGCCAGCATTCCAGTCCACCGCCATGCCCCTGGGGCTCTCCTGCACTGCCTGGCTTCCTGGCACTCAGTCAAGGTCACCGCGATGAGCTCTGACCAGAGAAGCACATTGACAGTGACTCCAGACAGAGGAGCTCCCGAGGGACTCCGCAGCCTCCCTTCCCCACCAAAGAAGCCAAGGAAGCCAGTCGTCCTACATAAAAGGGAGCCCGAATGCCCTGGGCCCAGGCTGCGGGGAGCAGAGCGCCCCCTGTTGGACAGAACGCTGTAGCCAGGGATTGGTCAGCCAAGCTGTTGAGATAAAAAGACCCGTGGCTGCAGCCAAACACCATAACGTGTCAGAAGGGATACTTTCACTACCCTAAGAATCTTCTGTACAAAGTGATCTATTTAAAACACAGGCCTGATTGTGCTGTGTCCCTGCTGGACACTCAGTGCTCCTGAGCCTGGCCCAGCCCTCCCTAGCACACTGGTCCCATGTCCTCTGCCCTCCCACCCCAGGCCCATCCCTGCCCACCCAGCTCTCTTCCTTCCTCAGAGCCATCTTGGGCACCATCAGCTCTGCCTGGAACTCCTACACTCCCGCAGCACCCTCTGGGTCTCACATGCCAGGTTCCCAACTGTCATCCACCCCACCATCTGAGGACATCAAGAATCTCCTTGTTGCTGACGTTCAAAGCTCCCTCTGTCTACCTTTGCCATTGAGATTAAATGGTGGTCAATTCTGAGTGGCTAAGGGGACGGTTGTTTCTCCATCAGGAGGCGGCTCCTGAGCAGAGGCTTGCGCTCTGGGTCCTGGCTCCCCACCTGGCCTGCGAGCAGAGCTGCCCATTTGTGAGCGGAGGGTGCAGAAGTCACGAGGCCATTCTCCCCACTGTGCACTGCAGGCGGTTTCCAGGCCCCCCCAGCCCCTGTACCAGGGCCAGGTAGCTTTGGCACCCAGCACCACAGGGAGTCTTGGAGCTTGGCTAGAGTCCAGGGGAGGAAAGGAGCCCCTGGCCCAGGGACAGTCACATCCCACAGAGCCCCATTTCCAGAAGGCAGCCACCCTCCTCTGGCTGCCCAGCAGTACCAGCAGTCCCTGGCTGCGAGGGAAACAAACGTGGACAGAGTCCTGGGAGATCTCTGGATTCTGGAGCACTGGGCCCTGAGCGCAGGCCCGGGACGCATTTCTCACGGGCATGCTTTATCCTTCCCATCAGGGGGCCAGGTTTCCATCCCTGGTGATTCCCAGGAGAGGACCAAGAGGAGGAACGTGCCCAAATCGTAACTGCACAGGGGGCAGACATCTTTCTTCCTATAAAAAGTACCTGAATTATGCATCTTATCAGAGACCATGTGCTGGCTGATTTTAAAATATTACCCCCCGAATATGCATATAGTACGCCAAGAAACCATCAACGGTAAATCACCTCCACTCCAGGGCCAGGATTTAGTTCCTGAACTGTGCAAGTCCCTCGCATAAAATTCAAAATGTCTCACAGTTTATCTTGAAACTTTATGAAATTTATTGATCTTTATGGCCATGAAAGGCAAGAGGAAATATATTTTAAGTTCATGTTTTTTATTACTGACCCAAGTGACCATGTGAAATGGCTCAGATTTATCATCGCGTCCAGCTGCCAGCGTTCGCAGCGACTTCCAAACATGTCATTTTACCATCAGACTTCTCATGGTCGGGACGCTTGGGGAGTTTACAGGGTCGCTCTGACTTCAGGACCAGAACAAAGGAGTGGCTTAAGTAGTTTTGCAGCTGATTGGAAAGTGACTTTGAAATTCATTTGAGGAGTTTGCTAACCATGGGCCACAGAAACCTAGGGAAGGGGCAGGGGTCCCCCAAATTTATGTCTTTCCACATGGGACAAGAGAAGATTCCTTTGCCAAAGGGCAGTAAGTGTGCATGCTCCTCCACATCTTCCCAGCTCCGTCAGAGAGGTTTAAGAAAACAGTATTCAACTGTTTCTCATTTGCTAGAGAAATAGACATTACTAGTAAATGGAAATGGAAATTGTATTGTTTTTAAATGTTCTTTAATGTGGCTTACCAAAATAGTCGTCACTGTGCATGGGACATCGCCTCTGTTCATTATAAAACCCGGAGGTGGCTTTTAAAATGCCGTCACTAGTGCCTACGGGCCTCAAACTCTTGTGAGTCGACGTGCAGTCCACGTCAAGCTCGGTCAAGAGTGCAGGGCCTTAGCCAGGTGCCGGGGTGCGCAGCTGTAATCCCGGGCGGGACTCCAGAGGCAGAGGCAGGAGGCTCTCAAGTTCCAGGCCAGCCTCAGCATTTAGTGAGACCCTGCCTGCCTCAAAACAAAAACACAAAAAAGGCTGGGGCTATAGCTCAGTGGTAAAGCGCCCCTGGGTTTGGTCCCCAGTACCAAGCAAACAGACGGAACGCTGGGGGCCTGGTAGGGTCCCTTTGCCCTTCCCCTCCTTCAGGCCTGTGTGTCTAGCCAGCTCCTGGGGTCTGAGTCCCTCTTTTGTGCATCTCTACCTTCTTTCTCCTGTCTCTTGACCCAGTGGACACTACCACCCAGTCCACCTTCTAGAAGGTTCCCGGCATCACCTCCAGGCTGACTCCTGATTGCTTCTCACCGCCTGTGTGGTGACCCTCGGGGTACCTTGTCTCCGTCTCTGTGTCTCCCACCATCACCCCCTCATCCCCAGCAGGAGCCCAGACATTCAGCTGCCCTCAGACTTGGCTCGTAACATCCTCACAGCCAGAATGTCCCCAGCCTTGCTAAAGCATCCACCTGCCAAGATCTAGAGGACCCTCAGCCTCGCTGGAGGAGGCAGCCCTCCCCTGGATTCCCGCAGATCAGCACAGGTTCGCAGGCTCCACTTCACCTGCTCCAGGCTCCGTAGCCCAAGCTGAGGCTCAGCCTCACGGTGCTTCACATAATTCTTTAACATCCCAAAACCTTACCCGCCTCTTATCATCCTGAAGAGCAAGCTGTCTGCTCAAAAGAGAGAATGAGGGACATTCCAGGGAGGCCAGAAGAGAAGGGAAGGAAATCATAAAAGAAAAGATACTATTTAAAACAAATACACTTGGCCCTCCATCCCGCCTCTGCATCTGCAGTTGCAAAGCATTAAAAAAAAAAATGCATCTGTACTGAACGTGTTCAGATGTTTTCCTCATCGTTATTCCCAAAACAACACAGAATGACCGTTATTTACATGTAATTTACATTTTACTAGGTTTCACAGGTGATCTGGAGGATGTGTGTAGGTTTCATGCAAAGCTATACCATTTTATATAAGAACTGCAGAGAGTTCTAGAACCAATTCCTTCTGGACACCAAGGGCCTCAGCCCCCCAAGCAGCTAGGATTACAGATGAGCACCACCACACCCCACTCAAGACCTCCTTTTCAAATGGTTTCCTCTGTAAAGACCTTGTCTCCAAATAATGTCTCATTCTAGGGTACTTGGGGGCTAAAACTTCAACATAAGGACTTGGGGCCACACACTTCAACCCTGACACTGTGGGTCGAGCACCAGCCCTGGGGATAAAGAAATCACTAAAATATGGTGCCAGGAATGAAGCTGCTCACCACCCAGGGGGACCATCACCACTCATCCACCTGTTACCCTAGTCACCACAGTCACGAGGCCAGTTCAGGTGCAGATGCCTGGGGCCCGCAGGACCTGCCTGTGCCTCTGGGGCAGGCGACCTGAGAACCAGACTCCAGCAGCACAGGAGGAAGAAGCCTCGGGTGACCAAGTCCCACCCCGGTGCAGGAGGCGGAAGCAGCCCGGCCACAGGTGAGACAGCTGCTCCTGCCCCAGGAGGAAGGAGGCAGCCAGGGGAAGTGGACCTGCACTGGGCCGTCCCCAAAAGGGGCAGCTATGTGACAGGGTTGCAGGATGGGACACTCCCAGACAGAAAGAGCAGCCAGAGACGCTTGGGGACAAGAGGCCCCAGGCATGTCTCCCTGAACCTTGTCCCCGAGCGGGGACTGAGGGAAGTGGAAGTGGGAACACAGCGGTTTCCAAACGGGGATCTCAGGTTCCAGGTCAGAGTGTGAAAACCCCTCCATGGGCTAGCAGTCACTTTAAAGGGTAAGAAAAGAAGTAAAATAGCATAACTCCTTTTCTTAATGCTGGTTACTTCAAAGGAACCCCAAGAGCGTTGAAAAGCAAGTTTATTCCTACTAATGTATTTGGGAACTTTCTGGCACTAATGGACCCAATTTTAAAAAAACACTAACCTGAAATTTAATCAGCATTATATTGAAAGGAAAAAAAACACTTGTCTTCCGCCTCCTCTCTCTTCTTTCCCCTTAAGCAGACTTGAGATGTTGCCTCTCTATCCCTGAAGGTCGATTCCAGGTTGTGATGGCTCCTTCATCCCCTAGTCCTGTCCCAGCCTGGGTGACTTAGTCGCGGCACCGATGAACGCACATCCTCACCTTCACCACCTTCACCTCCAAGTGCCAAGCTGAGGTCCCAGGTAAGGCCAGCTCCAGGGGCACGTGCAGCCTCGCAAAGCCAAGTCTCAGGCCCCAGCTGCAGAGAGGATGAGTGGGACAGAGGGTGAGCAGAGGCTGCAGGGTCCTGAGCAAAGCCAAGACCCCAAAGCTGCCCCACCCACTTCACGCAGCCTCAGGAAGGGACACCTTCAGACCCCGAGGCCAAGCCCCGGTGGGTCAAAACCCTCGGGACCCTGGAGAAGTAGACAGACCAAATATCCAAATCCACGAGCCAGATGGTTTCTTCCCAGCACGGTGGGCACTCCGGAGAGCTTCCTGGGACTCCAAGTGGGGGGCTGCGGCCTGCACCGAGGAGTCCTGAGCACAACTAGGGAACCACAAGAACAGGAGAGGGTGGCGGCAACCAAAGCACCTGAGTGGCAGGGCCAGCCCAGTCCAGCATGGACAGAGCCCCAGGAAAAGCAGGGACTCCAGTGACCCCAGGAACTGGGGAATTAGGTGATATCAAGGGAAAGCCGAGGTGCAGGTCTGGCCTGCCTGGCGTCCAGGTCTGAGTGCTTGCCTGCCCTGTGGAACTGTGGGTTCTCCTTAGGCGCCCAGGTAGAGGGGTGCCTGGGGTGCCCAGAGACAGGTAACCCAGCCTGGCCTCACCAAGGAAGACAAAGAAACCAGGGCAGCAGGGAAGCCAGGGTCTGGGACAGTCCACCATCTTTCCGTAGCTGGCTCCCGCCTGCTGGGGACTCTGTGTCCTCCTGTGCACTGCTACTACCTGCTCCATCTCAAAAGCTGTGCGGTTTGCAAGACAGTGAGCTGCATGGGGTCCAGGGCTCAGCTCTCGGCACAGATGGGTGTTGACAAGATGGTGACGAAGTCACCAGGGCAATGCCAGACTTTTAAAACGAAGTGACAGGAACTCACGGAGGACAGGGTGTGACTCCCACCCAGGCCCTGTACCTTGGGACTTACCCTTCCTCCTGGGAGCTCCAGTCTGGCTTCTTGGCAATAGGCGCAGGAGCAGCCAGTGTGGAAAAGAGCCCCTTGGAACTAACTCCAGGCCAGCAGGAGGGGACGCCGGCCTCACAGCCCACTGCCCCCCAAGCCCCATCCTCCCCCAGCCTCCTCTGGGTGACATTAGGGAAAAGGCCAAAGAAAGCGCCCGGCCTCGGCCCTGGCGTTCCTGACCTCTGACCCGCCCCAGGGCCCCTGTTCAGACCTCCCACAGATGGAGGAGGCAAACCCCATTCCTTTTAAACCTCTGCAATTTGGATTTTCGGTTATTTGCAGCCTAAGCAGACTCTAGCTGCTTGGTGGGAAATCTCATTCCTACAGAGGAAAGCCTCGTCTCTAACTAGAGCGTGGCCACGCGAGGGGGTGAGACATCGGTGTTTCCTGGTTGCAGAAACCGTCTCCGTTATCGCGTCTCTAGGGAATGTCGATGACCAGATGGGGCTGGGTCACAAGGGACCCCAAACACACTCAGACCACACGCAGCACTCACCCCTCACACATACAGGGCAGGAAGAGACCTGCCTCTCCGACGCCATGCCGTCGGTGGGACAGTTGACGGGTACAACACGCATCGGAGCGTCGAAGGCAAACCCCACGTGGCACAGGTAGGGCACACCAGCCCGTCTGTGAGTGGCCCTCTGGGCTGTGGGTTCTTCACAGGGGCCTGTGTACCCCAGTTCTGAGCTTTTCTACTTTACTGGGAAACACATCTCCAGGGGACCTCAGCATCAGCTCCTCACTCCTGGTCAGTGAGGGCACCCCCAACAGAACCAGGGCTGCAAGTGACACGGTGACAAGACATGCAAAAGTAAGAGGAGCCCCACGCATGAACCCAGGGAGAAGCAGAAGCCAGGCAGAGGCCATGTTCTGGGACGGGCGAGTCTTCATCTGGACAAGAGGCAGCGGGCCGTCAGCAGGGCAGGTCCGTGGCAGGAGGGGATGTCCAACAAGAGGAGCAGGCTTTCCCAAGATGCCAGCTCTCTGCTTCCTGCTTGGCTGCAGCTCTAGATTCTCGGCCAAATAATCTGGGTCACAAGTATTCAACATGGGAGGCTATCTAAGCATTAAAAAGCCAACCGAAAACCATCAAGAACTATGTGAGTTGTCCCTTGGCATCGACAGGATTGGTTCCAAAACCCCCGCACAGATACCAAAACTCAGGAATGCTCTCTCGGGTCCTGCACATAAAATGGCGTGGTATTCACACAAAACCAACGCACACCCTCCCTGCACTCAGTGTCTAACAAGCAATGACCCCCTGTCCGGGCCACGCCACACACAGCACTCACCCCTCACACATACAGGGCAGGAAGAGACCTGCCTCTCCGACGCCATGCGCGGGGCTGCAGGGGCTGGGGCTCCAGCTCCCCAGCGCTTCCAGCCTGGAGCAGGGACCAGGCGCGGCCAGCAGGTTCAAGCCCCACTTGGTCCTGCTCCGGGGGCACCTCAGCAGCGCTTCATCTGGGCCCCTGGACAGCAGGGGTGAGTCTGCGCCTGCAGGGGTCCCCCGGGAATTGCGCTGAGCCTGACATCTGGGAGCCAGCCTTTGCCCAAGGTCACCCTCAGTGTAACATAGAGCCAGGGTTTGAAATTAGGTCCTGCCAATTCCAAAACTGTACCCTCTGCTCCCTCCACACCAGCTGCCTCTTCCTAGACTGTCCTAATGGCGCCCCACGAGGCGGCCATGGCATGGCCCACAGACAGGCGGCCAAGAAGCTGAATGTGGTCTTTGCCCTTGGGACACAAGAGGGCCATCCAAGAGGCCATGGAAATTAGGGGCTTTCGTGGGGAGGCCCAAGGCCTGGAATTGGGGTTCTGAGGGAGATCCAAAGAAAACAGGCACGGGTTGGGGGGAGACGCCGATCCCCAGCATGGCTGGCTGTCGAGGGACACAGACGCAGCTCGCAGGCCAGGCCGGGGGTGTTTTCCTTGGCAGCCGTCAGTCTGCTCACAATGGAGGACGCAGAGACGACTCCAGCCTGTGGCAGAGAGGAAAGGCCCTGTGCGACTCCGGGAGAAGTGAGCACGGAAGAGGACGCAGCCTGCCAGCTCAGAGCTGGGGTCGCTGCTGCACTCGGCAGGTCCCCTACATCCTTCCTTCCCTTCTTTATCCTCCTCGTCTTCTTTACAGAAACCAAACCGTGATGAAGCTGAGGAATCCTGCAGGTGCTCTGTGCAGAGCCAAATACCCAGAGGCCTGTACAGGGACACGGATCCCCACCTCCACAGATCCACCCAAGGTACAGCCACCCTCCAGCGCCCGGGCGGGAGACAGGGGAAGAACGGCTTGGAGGCACCTTTGGTCAGGCACCTACGGGTGCTCCCAGCCTGGGAGGCAGGTGTGGTGCTTCCCCTCTGCACAGACAGGCGGAGAGTGGGAGTCAAGAGGTGGGGGGACAGGGCCCGAAGTAGAGATTCCAGGACTAGAACTCAAGCCCCTGCTCTGGCATCCGTGAGCTTCAAAAATAAAACCCCCAAAGAGGCTATTTCTAAAAACCAGTGACTCGCCAAAGGGCCACAATGAAAAGAACCCACTTACCTCCACGTCTGGTCACCAGATGTCCGAGAGAAAGACAGCAGGGCTTGGCTCAGGCTGAATTAACCCAGGCGTGCAACTCACGAGGGCGGATGGGGAAACAGGCTGGCAGTCTGTGAGCTGGTTCTTCAATCACTGATGGCTGGAAATCAGCCATGGCAGGCGTTGGTCAGTGTAGGAAAAGGAGGCTTTGTTTTGGTGGCTGCTGAGAGCCACTTGGCCAGCACCCCAGGGGATGGATCTTGGATTGAGTCACCCAGAAGGCATGGCCTGGCCCTTCCTAGGGAGCTCAAGAGCAAGCAAAGCCAACCCTGGGGATGGGAGGAGGTGGGGGGCTGGGCGACGGGACAGGGAGCCTGCTGTGTCCTGGTCTTGACCTTGGTACTCATGACCCGGGCAAGTCCAGTGTGAGAGCTCACTAGCTCCATGTTTATGATGGACATGTGTCGCAGACGCAGCTCCATGAGGAAGGAAAATAGGGACCTTCTCCTCACTTTTGAGGGGAAAAAACCAAAAGGCATGGTGGCTTGCACCTTGAGAAGAGACAGAGGTGGCTTGGAGCGAGGCCCTGGAGGAGCACAGAGGCTCCGTCCACTCTGCGCAGGGCAAGCGCCTATCACTCTGCCCTGAGCTTTCCCGGTTACACAG